GACAGATACAACAACTGACAATCACATGTTTCACATCCTCGTGTTCGGACAACTCTCAGCTACAACATTATCCACTTCAATTTCAGTTCAACAGACCCAGGTTCAAACAACAAACCACAATCTGACAAATCGTCATAAAGCACATGTCGAATCAAATGTTTGCTTTGGCGTCACAAGCGCCCTCAAAACAATAAGTAGCCCTGCTGTCAGCACACCATTAGAAAGCCCTCCCCGAGCTGAACACAATGCTATGAGGCTGGTAACGCTACCTCTAACACTCTCTGACCAAGCCGCAGACGAATGCCAGAAAACAAAGCCGTAAAACATCAGCGTTGAAGTAAAAGTTGACTTACTTTTGCTGTTTTTTCATCACAAGTCATTTCCATAGGAATAAAAGTCCGTTTTTTCTTGTATTCAACCTCATAGCGAGGCTTTCTAGCGATCTGGCAGATACCAGTTACTTCCTCCTTCTGTAAGAGGCCCTTTGTGATAGGCTGCACCCGTGCGTCATGTCACGTACCTCTGTGTATCTCTTCCTGTGATTGGCCACAGGTGCTGTCCATCAATACGTTTTCAATGGTTTTTGATAGCCGAAGGTGTGTTCTTTCCAAAATGGTATGACATGCCCTGATTGGCCAAAGTACCGCGGAGGCGTGTACATGCGTATAGTTGGGGCAGAAGGAGGCTGTGCGCAAAGCCTTTACGCACGGCAGGTACTCGGAATTTTGACGAAATTAAAAATGGCAAAACAGCGTTATACACGCGAGGAGGTTGTAGAGCTTCTTGCTAGGGAACCGGGTGCCAAAGTTTATCTCGATGACTCTACAGACATGTTTGTGCCATTTGGCACAATTTTGGCACAGTTGGATTCCGCCTGGACTTTTTTTCCAATTCCAATTCCACTCTGCAGTGGTTTGTTTATTTGGCACAATTTTTGCTGGACTGGTCCAAAATATCGGGAACTGTCAATTTTTGTTCTTATTTGCTACACCACAGACAGGGAAAAAGCTTTTTTGAGGGAAAATATGTGGGTTTTTTTTAGGCGGAAGTTAGAATTGTCTGTTTCAACCTAATTTTATTGGCAACCAATACAATTTATCATCTTTTTTCACTTCCACAGCAATCCCCAAGGTCCACCAGGTAATTTGGTACCAAGTTTGGCCACATATCTGGCTAAATACTATATGAAACCTTAGTAAATGTAGATTATAGCTTTTTCGGGAAAAAGGCCTCTGGGCTTAAGAGGCCCCTTAAGGACCATATCTGTACTTCCAAGGAACATTCCTAAAAAATGTACCCTTTGGGGACAAAATGTTACCTTTATTTTTCTGTGTGTACACACAGTGGAGACCGAAGTTACCTTTTTCATATTCTTATTCAAAAGTTTGATCCGATAAGGAAGGTCTAATGAAGGAAGTGATATGTCTCAATATACAACAACATGTCTTTGATTAAGGAAAGAGGTCATTTTCATTCGTCCTACACAAACTTTCTCAACCATGTGCACTTTTTAATTGGCACAGTGGCAGAGTGCTTATGCGTGTGATTAATCAAGTATTAGAATTATTTTTATGCATGTCTTTATCTTCTAATACTTGTTTGCACAAAGCAAATTTCTTGTTTGTGACTTGCTGTTACTTACAATAGCAATAAAATAATTCTGCCTCTGATAAGCATGTCCTATAACAGAAAAAAACAGGTTGCGAAAGGTAAAATCTGACCAAGAGCATCAACATCTGAAGATGGACCCTCGACTTCTGCTCCTGATAAAGACCCTAGTGGCAGTGCAGGACGAGTCAAAATCTGTTTACAATGTTCCCAGATTTGTACCATTCATCTCCTGCACTGTTTTCCAACAGGACAACATCTTCACATTCCTGAGCATTTCTGCTGTCCAATTGCTTAAATTGACTCTGGAGGTTTCCAGGCCAGTCCAGTGAGAACAAGTCTCTCTTTAAGTCAATGACTGGAGCTCGCTGGTGCTTGTTCGAGGTTAAAGAGACCATATGGTATATGCACGATTAGAGGTCTAATAAAGTCATTACAATTACAATCCAACTTGCTGCCTGTGACATATGTAGCTCCTAAGCATTGATTACTGGTCCAATCCATCTGCTGGAGTTTAGCTAGAGACATGGGCAAAATACGGCCCGGGAGCCGGGTTAGGGCCGCCAAGCATTTTAATATGGCCTGTTGCTCATTTTTCTTAAAAGTGTACGTTTTTCTGGCATTTTGTGCGCTGCTTTGACGCATCCCCTTCACCTTCGCTGCGCTGCCCCTTGTGTAGCTGTGTGTTTGCGGCTCCTGTCAAATGTGAGGGCATTCACGTGACATGATCGTTCACTTGTCACTCGCAGCCCTCAACAACGTCCGTTTACGATAAACAAAGAAAGGTAGAAGCGGAATGGAGGATTTTCAACAACAATTTCACTGCTAAGTAACTGCTGAAGTCGGGGGTAAAGCTGTGCTTAGTTTGTGGGGAGCAGACCCACGTGTTTAAAGAGAACCATGAATGATGGTGAAGTGGTGCGGACATCGAGAGCAATAGCTTTGCTGTAAAAGTAACAAGACTTTCACCAAGCGTTTGCATCCGGGAATGCAGCAAGCTAGTCCAGCTTTGTGATGTCACACACAATCACTAAAAACACCATTCACCATTCGTTTTTTTTTAAGTTCAGTGATTAGTGAAAATAAAGTATGATTGGTTGCTTGTTTAGAGCATAAAGACAATATTGTAGTTTCCTAATGGCACATTCACTGAGCATGTTCACTAATAAAAGCCAAAGAAGCACATATGTAAGAAGAGAGAAAAAATCTCTTGCCATTGCTTTGGGAAATTTTATTGAAAAAAATACATTATTTGTAAGGCAAACTCATAGTTCATTGTTTGATGATTATGATATAGCCAAATTTAACCATCTTGTCAAAACAATTATATTTAAGGCTATTTACAGTAAATATATATAAATTGAGACACATAAAAAGTAGATGAAATGACATATTGTCCCATTTTCCAGCTGTTAAGCCCCCAACTAGCTCAGAAGTAGCATCTCTGCTTGGTTCGAGCCAAAAGCACCAATGATGCTTTGCACCATTAGAGCGAAAGTGTGGATCTATAGGAAATGGATGGATTTCCAAAAGAAAAAAGGAAAATATCACAAATCTGAGCACAGGTGTCTGGCCGTCTCTGTTCAGCCTGCTGCCTCCGCAACTCGAAAAAGGACAAAGTGGAAGAAAATACATGGATGGAATGTTCTATCATTTAGTCTATCTTTCTTGATGTTTGTTATAGCTTACTTCTGCTACAAAATCCTGAAAACCATTGCCACAATATTTTCTGGCTGTTCCTCTTTGTCCGTGAGCAGATGTGTGTTCTGGATAATTACCTGGAGTATTGTCTTTGCCAAACCAAACATAGATCTAAATGGTGTGTGTCACTGCAGAGGAGGGAATATCACAGAGTATTATTGTTGTAACATAAACATTACAAAAGGAAATCAACTTTGAAATTGTGTACACTTGAACAACCATTTATTCTCAGCTGGTTGGCTCCTGTAATTAGCACTTTAGCAGGATAGTGAATAGTCTAATGCCCTGTATGAATATTAATGTGCAGGTAAAGGTTTTGTCACTAATTCGGTAGTGCTTGGGATTTAAAGAGTCATTCATTAACATTAAGAATGCAATGTTGAGATTAGTCACAGATTTTTTATGAACCCTGAAAAACTACAAAGCTAGAATCGATAACATTAGGGTTTAATAAAATGTATAAATAAAGACTATGCAGTAATAACTTTGGTAGAAAATATATGGTGATACAAATGGTAAATGTTATTGGCCGGCTCGTTCCCACCAGAGCATGGTGTAGAAGTCTAAATTTGTGATTGTAAAGAGTCTCATTTCACCTGAGAAATTGCTGAAGCCAATTCAGGCACTATTTCTTCATAATGTCTACTTTATATTTCCACATTTTCAGCAGAATTTAACCCATCCGTCAATGCCACTATAGGGCAAGCGCAATCTGATAACACTAAGTAATTTACAGTTCTGTACCAAGTTGATCCTGGACTACTCTAAAAACGACTCTATTCCTAACCCTAGTTTTAACCTTAACCCCAATTTTGACATTGACTGTTGATGACTTGGCAATATCAGATGTCAATCAATAATTGACCAATGCTCCAACGTTAAGAGCATTAGTTGCCACAGTCCATCTTCAAATATATATATACAGTATATTGTAGGGGTGTTGGAGTCGAAATCACACATATCTTAAAGGAATAGGCCACCGTTTTTACATACTGACATATGTTCTTACCTTAGACTAGACTAGTTGATATGTACCTGTCTGGTCTTTATCCGTGCGCTCTGTCATGCAAACGGAGCACAAACGCCTCTTCTACATACTGTATAGTACCAAATCAGCTCCCGTTAGAAGCTACCAAACTCTTCCACGTGTGTACGTTTGCATGACAGAGCGCACGGACTAAGACCAGACAGGTACATATCAACTAGTCTAAGGTAAGGTTAGAACATATGTCAGTATGTAAAAACGGTGGCCTATTCCTTTGTTATTTATGTGATAAAAACACATATAATATATCATGTAGTAAATATGGTAATTGATAATGGCTTTATTTCGGGGCACCAGTAAATAAATCACAACTGATAATGTGCATATGTTGGCACAATATCTATTAACTGGCTCATTAATTAAGTAATCTTTTTAGTCCTTAATTATTTAATTAGCTTTAAGTCCAATTCTCTTCAATAGAATCCTGGAGGTCCCAGGATCTCCTTTGCTGCCTGCCATGGGCAGACCCTCCCAGGTCCTGCTACTCCATGGTACAAAAGCAGACTGACTGTTCTGTGTGTTCCTGCTTATCTTCTCACCTCAATGAGGAGTCGTTGGGGGAAGGGTGTTGCAATAAACCATGAACCACAATGACGTTGTTGTTATTATTATTGCTTCATTGATGGTTTTATGTTCGTCTGTCCAGAGGCAGTTGCTGAGCTGTATCCGTGGAGGAAACTGTCCTGGTCCAAACGTCAGCTCTCTGCAGATGCCCAGTGACTCTAGCTTCTTCTCCAATAATCTGGCGGTGCCCACACTGGAGTTCTCCTTCCAACAGAGCGCTGCAGATGAGGTACAAGCACAACCTCAATGTCTGCATATGAGACAAGGACATGGGCGGGAAGGAATGTTATAGTTTAGAGCAGTGTCTCCCAAAGTGGGGTCCGCGGCCCCCTGGTGGGCCGCGAGGGTACTGCAGGGGGGCCGCGGGAGGTCATAAAAAAAAATATATATATATATAATTATTTAATGTTAAATTTATAATGTTGTGTTTGTAATATTAAAATATTTGTGTTCATTATTTGACTTGAATAATCCACTGTAATCATTTTTGTATTACAATGTTTGTAGCAGAGGCTATTTCCCCCAAATAAAATAACCAGAAGAGCCTATTCTTAATGTTGTCTTCTTGGTTATTATTTTGGGGGGCCACGCAGACCCGTCAGATTTTTAAGGGGGCCTCGGTCTTACTGAGTTTGGGAATGGCTGGTTTAGAGGAATTATCAGCCTTATGTGCATCTGGTGTGCAGAAAGACAGACCACATGTATTTTGGGGGCTTAAAACACATGTTTGATGGTGCATATGTTTGACAGAATTCAACAAGAGACGTCTATAATATTAAGCCTCCATCTCCTTGGCTCAGTTTAGTTTCAATCCAAGCAGCTGTACTCATTTTGTTCATAGAAATACTGTATATTCAAAATTGTAAAAGGTTGCCGATACAAATTACAAGATATAAACACACTTTCCACAAACTCTTCATTCATGGGTTTACTTTATCTTACGTCATTATGAGTGAAGATATGACTTTTTAAGCATATGGGGTATGTTTATTATTTACTATCTTTTAGCTTGTGTAGTTTTTGGATTAATTCAACATCTGCATGTGCCTCATAGATCTGTTCGCTCGAATGTCGATACATTATTCACACGCACAACCCGTGATAAATTTAATTCATAATGCGGTCCAGCCTCACCCAGCCCACAGGTAATTTGAGTTTGAGACCACTGATCTACAGCAATCGGTTAACAACACTTTTTACATTGATCTAAAGCCAACGAATAGTTTTACTGCTTTGGATTCGGGACGGTCTGAGCTTTAAAATTTGGTATTCCATTTTGATGTTATACTTTCCTTCTTTTCCCTTGCTACATTTGCACTACTAGGGACCATCCATCATCACAAATAAGAAAAAATAAAAATGAGAGGAATTAAAAAGAAGAAAAACTAAATCTGGTTTGTCACTTCTAATAACACAAGTTGACAGCCAAAAAATGGTCAGGGGTTTCTCAACTGATTTAGACTAATTTTGGTGTTCTGAGTCCGAATATCACATGCATTTTGCTTTATCAGGTCAACTTTTTGAGATACAGCCATAGTGTTACGGATTACGTACGTCTACGTTATTATGAATTCTGCTTATCAAATTTGATAGAGTAAATTAAAACTGAATGACTTTGGATACGTTGACTTTTTTTCTTGAGGAAAACGGAAAAAACGTCAAGGGTTTCTCAGCTGATGATCCGCAGTGTTTTTTTTTTTTTACGCAAAATCGATTACAAAAAATATTTCTGTAGCAAAAAATCCTGACCTGATTGAGCAAAACAAGGTCATTTTCGGACTCAGAGCCTCAAAATTAGTCTAATTCAGCTGGAAAACCCTGCACTATTTTCTAAAAATATTGTTTTGTTACCCAGTGTAATTAAACAAAAAAATTTATGTGCAGAAGAAGAAACATACATTGACCTTGCTCAATCTGTTACAATCTATTTGGTTGAAGTGGCACATACTTAAAACGGTAATATTTCTCTTTGAATTAATTAAATTAAAGCCATTTCATATCAGCCAGTAGCAATTTGTTACAACATACTCGTGGCTTTGACTGTATAGATGCGCTCTCATTTGAGTAACATCCAGGCATCATGGGAAAGCAGGAAATATGCATGGCCCATTTTGCAGTATTAAAAATGCAGTATTGATGTTTGTTGCAGCGCTGTGGGCCAGAAACAACGATATAGAAAAAAAAGTCTTCCCAACTTGTTTTGGGAATCCCATGAAACTTTGAGCTTAATTAGCACGAAAGACTGTCACAATGTTTACCAGCCCCCGAGGCAACGCATCCCATAAAAATAATAAAAGAAGTGTTTATGAGTTGCAGCTATAACGTTCCTAGAACACAGGTTCAAGAGGATGTTTCCATTGAGTTTTAAATAGATGTTGAACCTGCTACGATGCTAAGAGAACTAGATATCAAAGGCAGTGTCTTTTAAACGGGATGAGATTACTGGCTTATATCCCACACAGTAACACTTTATTCAGGAATAGTCTGGCAATCCAGTAACAGTCACTTATGTACTAGAAACCACTAGTGCTAATGGCATACTATACTTTTTGAAGGTACTTTTCATCATTTATAGTCCCTCCAACGGGTCCTGGGTCTATGGACTTTATCAACATTTATAGACATTGGTCAACCGGCCCTTATAGACCAATGGCTTTTTTTAAATTGTTCTAATCATTGCATTTCTTGTGTCTGAATTGTTTGATTCTCTGATCTGTGTTTCGTAAAGCCCTTCGAGATAACCACTCTTGCGATTTTGGGCAATACAAAAATTAATTGAAATGCCTGGAACTCCTTCTCAGGGATCAATAGGTCTGAAATGCAGTCTCAAGAGCTGCAATTACTATCCAATCTTCTCTAAAGATTCTTTTTTTTTAGACAACCCAAACTCAAGGTTGTCATTTAATGCCTCTCACTGCGAAAAACATCTTATTACAGTATATAAATTTGCCATGAAATCTTTTCCATTTCCCGTGCAAATTTTGTCCCCACTGTGAGAGACAGTAAATAGAAAAAGTCTTGTTAAGTGAACATGCTCCACCTGTCTCAGGATGTAGGAGTAATGAAAGATGACCTGCGGACCTGTCGAGCCCTGCGCATCTGCTAGACCACGGCCTTCTTTGGGAAATTATCGCACACTTACATCCGTGTCTTCGCCTGACTTTGGCCGGCGGGAAGAAGCGGCATCAAACTTTGAAGAGCGGACGTGCTTAGAAAGGGAAATGAGGAGATTGGAGGTTACAGAATTGACAATATGAGAGAGAGAGAGCAGAGGCAGCTGCATGAGGAGATGCCAAAAATGTCATAAAGTGCACAAGTTAGCTCCTGTCAAACACGGGCTCTGCCAAAAAGTCAATCTACTTAAATCCATAACATGCACTGTTTATATATTATTTCAGAGAAGACTTGTTCTGGGTTATATCAGAGGACACTATATTGTGGAAAAAAGACATTTTGGCACGTTTAACCGCATTACAGCATTGTTCCATCATCAAAAACATACCTTGAGTTCTATTTGAGAATGAGAAAACTTTTATATTCATTGCCTGTGAAGAAGATTAACAAGATTCAAATTCACTCTTGAAATATGGTGCAACTGAGACAATAAGTAAAAAACTATGAGTAGACATGCATGCATGAAGATGAACTCACTCACACCAAAATGGTATGCAGATAAGCTACTAATACAGGTAATATATGAGTAAAACTTAGTTAGTATTGTTAACCCTCTATGCCCATGGGTCATTTTGGGGAACTTTCCTCGCCTGGTTTTCTTTGTGTATAATGGTTCATAAAACAGTCATCTTTTGATGCAGAGTCAAGCAGTATACTTTGTTTTTTCAGTACAACCTGGGGTTTTAGAATAATCATATTGTAAAGCTGTCATATGAATTGTATAAAAATGATGGAATCATAAAGACAAAGGAAAAAATCAAACGGAAAATCAATTTAACAAAAATGTATTGAAAAAACACAATGAAATGCTATAAACAACTTTTTACACTGCATAGAAATGTTATTTATGGTCTTGGGGATAATGGGGGAAAAAATTTAATCTCTAACTATTATACTTTTTACAAAATTCCACTATAAAAGCAAAAAACTCTGTACTCCAGCTGTAAAAAACGTAAAACATAAAAAACTGAGCCAAAAAAAAAAAAAAACATCAATTATTTATTTAATACATATATTTATATACATCATATACACATAATGTCATTTTACTGTATTTATTATCGTCTTTATCAATAATGCGCACTCTTCAGCCGGTTATTGCAATCGCAGCTGTAGTTTCAACTGTGGGAGAACAAGGAAACGCAGAGGAGTGAGAGATCTCACTCTCTGACGATCTTTGGCAGTCCCCGTGTGTTTGTATCTCACAGCTGTTTGTACCTCACGGGTCACGCTTTGGACACAGACTTTCAGACAAACGTAGTTTATCCTCCGTGCATCGCACAGACAAATCAAAACTAGTTTCGGAAAGCCCTGATTACGTACTTCACAGAGGAAAAATAAGTTGCTACGTTTTACCGTTCGCGAGTAAATTGATCATTTGTAAAACATGTGCGCGTGCATATGATGAAGGTGAGCTTCATCATATGTTTAAAGGAGCAGTATGTAAAAACTGACACCTGTCCCATTCTCCCTGACTCCCTGGTTGTCAGATGTGCAGACGAATCCAGCAGGAACCATAACAATAATAACTGAATAGTTTTGTCAACAACAAATCTAAAACCAACACCTTTTTCACAAAGGCCCCGATAGAAATCCTTTTTTTATTCCTTGTTTTGTCATTAATGTTTTGAGAATCATAACGAGACCTTTTTAGTACTGTGGCCATATGTTACTTTACCAGTGAGAATAGCTCGACACGTTAAGTTCTGGCAACCCATCACGGACCTTCTGATTGGTAAAATGGTGGAGGGCGGGACATGAAAACAATACCAAGATTTAGGGGCTGTAAAACTAATTTTGAAATTCAGATATCTCGGCTGAACTACTGTTATTAGTTAAAAAGTATTCAAAAAGACAATGATTTATTATTGCCTTTTGAGCTATTAGAGCCATTTAAAGATGACTTGACATGATCTGACATAGTGCTACTTTAAAGAGTTCAGGCAATACAGATTAAAAACTATTTTCTGCTTTGTCTTTGTCTGGACAGGGTCTAAATATATTCTCTATTTCAAATCTCTCCCAGCTGTAAATAATATCTTTGAATCGCACAAC